GAGCGTCGTCTTCGTCGGCGAAGCAAAAAGCCACCGAGAGAGAGAGGGAGGGAGGAAGGGAGATGGCGGATAATCTATTCGAAGGACTTCCGCCTCCTTCTCAGCGACAAGAGCAATCCAGTTCTTCAGCTCATCCTGAATCAGACGCATCGAAGAAGGGCAATTCTAATTCCTCTCCCTCGCCGGCACTGGTTCTCAAGAGTGCCCTGAAGCGGTCGAAACCGGCGGAATCTACACCTGGTGCAGCAGGTATGCTGTATTGCAGAATCTCGTCGCGTTTGTTCCGATTAATTGTGGTCTGAGTTAGCTTCGTTTTGGGTCCTTGTTGCTCGCTGGTTTTGGACCTTTCGGTATTGCTGTTTTCTGGAAGAAAAAAAAAAGTGTTCCTGTCTCGTGCACTTTGAATTTTACCTTTTTTGGGTTGGAAATCGAAGGTTCAAACTCGATTTTGATTTTCTGCCGTTGCATCCTTGAAACTCTCATTCGACGTTGATTATTGGGGAGGTTAACTTAAAACCCTAATTTGTTCTACTTTGAAATCAGTGGCGGTTGGCTTACGGAATCATAGTCATTTCGTGTACTGATTTGAGTTATCGTTCATAATTTCAGCTGCTCCGGTTCTCAAGAGCGCACTGAAGCGGCCAAAACCAGCAGAACCTGAACAGCAACGGGAAGGTATATGAAAATAACGTGTTTCATTCTTCGTTTTCCATTGGTTATGATGGTTTTTCCATCTTCACCCTTTGAGTGATCAGTGATTGGTGGAAGATTTCTACAGTCTTTAGTCAATCCCCTCGTACGGATTAGCATTGTTATCGTGTTAGCTTTTGGGAAGTTGTTTTCCTTTCTCCATTGCCACAAAAAAAAAAAAAGTTTTTGCCCTTTAAGTGGAATTTGTGCTGTTTGCATCAATATGCAGCTCCTGCACCTGAAAAGCGGCTTAGGTTTAAGACAACAACCGATGCCTCGGAGCAACAAGTTATAGAAGCAATGCAGAAGATAACGTCTCACATCAAGAACCCTTTGAAGTTCTCCAAGGCGTCGAAGCTTGCAATACAGCTGATTAAGGCTGGAAGCGTAAAGCCAGAAACAAGCAACCACTTTTTTGCGATTCTAGAGGCTGCCATGTCATTACCAACCCCTTGTACAGATCCTTCAGTTCGAGCTGATTATCATGCATTGTTCTCCACAGCACAGGACATTGCCGAGGTAAAAATTATGGCTAGACATAGCCAACCAAAATTAATCAGTGTACGCAGAGGTGAATATCTTGCTGAAGGTTTTTGTTTTTCCTCTCTTATAGTGCCTCGATAAAGGCCAGAAGAATCTGCTGACTACATGGACAATCAAGGCAGTCGTGGCTAATGACCTCTTCACCGATGACAGCTTTGTGGTGAGAACCCTTGTAACATTGTCGTTTGAGCTCTTTCTCGCAAACATTTATTGGAGTGTCAAATTTGTAGACCCTTCCCTTGCTGATTCTGTTTTATTCCACGACATCAGCTTCATGTTTGTGTGCCACAACCGGTATACCATGTCCTACAGGTTTAGAGAATGTTTAATCCTAATTACTAACATTTAGGACGTAGACTGTGTGTGATATCACAGCATGTAATGTTGTTATCATAACCATTGTCCCCTCCGAGGTTTCATGGTATACTTTTTGCTTTGGGTTTTCATTCAGTTTTCCAAGACTGCCACACAAATGAAGGAGACTATATCTGCTCTTCCGGTTTCAACCGAGGAGGATGACACAGAGGAGGCAGATGCCTTGAATGATGATGCTGTAAATGATAGTGAAGGTGATGAAACGATAAAGAATGAGGCCAAGATTGCTTCAACCGATGATGGAAAAGAGGACAAAGAGTCTGATCCGTTTGGGCTTGATGCGTTGATTCCCACTCCCATGAAGAAAGATAGTAAAACAAAGACAAGGAAAGATTTGGCTACAAAAGTTACGGAGGACAAAGATGTCGAAGAAAATAGGAGATTTCTCAGATCAAAAAGAGAAGCTCTGATTACTTGCTTGGAGATTGCTGCACACCGTTATAAAATTCCATGGTATGATCCATTAATCTTCCCCTGGTCTTATAGTATTGCACATATATATTTGGCCTTCAATAATGGATGTCTCAGGTTCATGTCATGTCTACCTAAGACAGCAAATTGAAAAAAAAAAACACCAATTGAATGGGTTTCTGTTTGGCAATATTTTCGCAACTGCAAAACCATGTTCATCCGTTACTGCATTTCGTCTGTTCAATCTTGTGGTACTGTAAAGATTGAGAGATGGTATTGCTTCTCAGGTGCCAAACAGTAATAGACATCTTAGTCAAGCACGCGTTTGATAACGTGTCGAGGTTCACAAAGCGGCAGAGGGAAGCGGTGGGGAGACTATGGGCATCTGTGAGAGAGCAGCAAATCCGCAGGAAGCAAGGGAAATCAGTGACTGGAAAACTCGATGTAACAGCTTTCGAGCTGCTTCAGAATAAATACGCTAACGAGAAAATGAGTGTCCGTCGCTCTGTTGGAGCCAGTGGAGAGCGCCGGGCAGAGCAGTGGCTCGGTTAAGGTTCAGGGATTGTGAAGACGAAAGCGTTGACAGGTTCGTGATCTATCTGTATTTTCAAGTATTACTTGTGTGATTGGCTTGTTTGTGTAAACACAACTGGAAGCTAATAGAAACAAAAGTTTCCACCTTTACCAAAATAAATTTACACGATTTTTGGCTTTACGGACAAACAGTGCAAGGATATACACTGACTGAAAATGGGTTTTTTGTTTTGTAATGAGATTGGCGAGTAGTAGACTAGTAGTTCCCCGAACCGCAACCGAACCCAGTTGGGTCCTGTCCTGTTCCATCCTCCTTGTCTGTCCCTTCACCTTTTTAACCTTGTAGCTCTCTTACCACCGCTTTCTTAGCCGGATATTCCTGCACTCGAACCAGAGACCCATTCGGCCGGCGAGTTTTCCGGCGGCGTCAGGGTTGACCGGAGACGGAGGGGGGAAGGACTGGCAGAGCTGTTGCTTCGCCGGAGCTTGTTTATCGGAGGATGGTAACTGTGCGGCGGTTTATCGGTTTGCCTCCCTACTTGCTGATTATCATTACTCAACTTGAAATCTGTCTTGAAGACATGCTTAGAAAAAACACAGAATGATCAAAGTGGAAGAGAAACTAAGAGTATAAATTACAACATAAATGAATAATTTATTCGGATTTCTTGGTCTGATAAATAAATAAATATACAAATAGGATCTCTGTGTTAATCATAGACCATCATACATGGGGTGATGGGGGTCATATGTGACAGCTAATTCATAGGTTTTATATTCTAAGTGCAGGTACTATTAAGTCCGTTGCCTCCTCCTCATCATCACCCCCTCTTTTTTTTTTCTTTTGTGTGTTACAATTTTAATATATATATATATATATATATATATATATAATACAAATTGTGTTTCTAGAGCTAGAATTTGATCATACAAAAAATGCATGGTGTGGATGGATTCGACCCAATTTTTTTTATATAGAAAGCTAGAATGTTGGGTTTGACGACATCGAGTGTTAAAAATCGATGATAGTAAGTAAAGCGTTCAATAAATAACTAAAAAGCGGCAAACGATAGAATCTAAATGTGGATTTCATTGTTCTAAAAGAAATGACAAAAAAAATATTAACCCTTCTTCTAAAATTTATTTTAAATTTTTATTATCACGAATTTAAATAGACTGCCATTTTAACAAATGAATATAAAAAAAATAAATAAATATATATATATATATGATATTAGAACATAATGATAACTATATATATATAATAAGTTTATATTTTATTTAAAATTATAAATGATGGAGGTTTGTTTAGTGATGAAAATTTATTCGGATGCGAGGATAACTCAAGTAATAGACAATTTTTTAAAATGCATTTTCGATAAATTCGAGAAAATGCTGTCAAATCATTCGACTGTAGTTTTTGCTTTCCAGTGACAGAGATGGGTTTGAAACGCGTGCACTCTCACGCGCCCTTGATGACCAATAAAAACCCTGGCCGACTCTAAGTGCCACCTAGGTTTTTAATTTTTCTTGTGGAGGAAAAATCAAAATTATGAACATGGAGCTACTACGTTCAGGAAAGGACACTGTCTCTTTCTGCTTTGCTCCCTCGTGTCATGTCAAAGTTTCTCTTCAATTACCCCCACACCTTGACCCAATGGCCTCTCTCTCTCTCTCTCTCTATAGTTGTGAATTCATCCTATTATACACTGCGTAACTCTTAGTGCCCATCTGTATCTCTCTCTCTCTTCTCTGTTTTCTGGGCATAAATGGAAAATTTATGATCTGATCAGTCTCGTCTCGTCTCTCTCTATATGATATGTTCTTGCAGCTATGCGTATGTCTCTTCAGCATCTCCTAAAGTAGGAATTTTAGTAAGAGACAAGAGAGGAAAAAGAGGTAAGGAATCAATCCACTTTCTTGCTCTTTCCTTTCCACTCTTGCTTCTTTTTTTTTCCCTCTCATCTTCAAAGGTGGAAGTGGAACTCGTTCCTCTCTTTTTGCAGGGTTTATTTATTACGGAGAATCAGTCATAGAAGGGAAAATCTGTTTTGATTATAATCTTTTCTTAACTGTATCCTAAATTATAGGCAACCCAATGCTGTATATATTCCTCTGTAAAGCTCATATCTATAATGTGAAATTCATTCAAACCTTAAATGGTATCAAGAGCTGGTTCGTCGAAAGACTAAATCACCCTTCCAGCCCTAATTTTTTTTTTTTCCTCCTTCTTCCACTGCCGATCTATTCTCTTTCCGTCTCGTTCTTCTTTCAACAGCGCCAATGGCCACTGATGGAAGCTCTTCCAACAATGGCAACCAAGCCACCCTCCCCAATGAGACCGTCACCCCATTCAATACCGAAAATCCCTCGCAAACATTGATCAATATCAATGTTTCCAATGTCTCCAAGTTAACAGCCACCACCTATATCCCTTGGTCTGTCCAAATCCGAGCATTGTTACAAGGCTACAATCTTGCTGGATTTCTCGAGCCCGATGCTGCTCCTCCAGCAACCATCACTGCGAACAATGCAGTGACTGCCAACCCTGCTTATGAAGCATGGTTCCGTCAAGACCGGCTAATATTTGCCGCTCTCCTTGGTTCTCTCTCCACGTCGTGTCAGGCTCTTATCACCATGTCTTCGACATCAGCCCATGCCTGGAACACGTTAGCTACTACCTACGGTCGATCAAGCCGCGGTCATGTGAAACAAATCAAAGAGCAACTTCGTCGTTTTTCTAAGGGAACCAAGACTATCGACGAATACATGAATTTCTTCAAGGTAAAAGCCGATGAGCTTGCCCTTCTTGGAAAACCCATGGACCATGAAGATCTCATCGATCTCACACTCGCCGGACTTGGAGATGAATACAAAGCCGTAAAGGATGTGATTCAAGCAAAAGACACGACTATATCCTTCATTGAACTTCATGAGAAGTTACTCAACCATGAAGTGGATGTTCTTGCTTCTCAATCCACACACTCGGAGGTTCCAATCACGGCAAATGCCGCGACTCACAAGCCACGACAATCTGGTCGTCAGAACAACCGACAACAATATGATCCTCGGCTGCCAAAGACTTTCAACAATGGTCCGAGAGGATACCAAGGCAAATGCCAACTATGTGGGGTACACGGCCATAGTGCAAAGTTTTGTCGTCTTCTCCGTGGCAGCCCCGGTATCCTACCGAATCCTTCTTATGGCTTCAGCCAACATCATCCGTCACCGACCGTGAATGCAGCCGCGGTTGGTACAGCCAATTCCCCGTCATGGCTACTTGATTCCGGAGCATCTCATCATGTCACCACGGATCTCGCGAACCTCTCTCTACATGCTCCTTACACCGGCGGTGAAGATGTTGTGATAGGAGATGGATCGGGCCTCTCAATCGCACATACCGGTTCTATGTCCCTTCCCTCTACCTCTCGATTTCTTTCTCTTCATAATGTCCTACACGTTCCTACTATGCACAAAAACTTAATCTCCATCCAACAACTTTGTGATACTAACGATGTTTCTGTCGAATTTTTCCCGCATTCTTTTCAGGTGAAGGATCTCAGTACGGGGGCAAAAATAACAAGCGGACTGGCTAAAGACGGAGTGTATGAATGGCCGAAAACACCAACACCCGAGTCTGTCCGTTCTCATCCCACTTTTTCTGCTTTTTCTACCATCAAGACCACTTTGTCCGAGTGGCATTCTAGACTAGGTCATCCGTCTTTTGATACTCTTCGTAAAATAATCTCCGGGTTATCTCTTCCGTTGTCAAACCCGTCGAGTAAGTTTTTGTTTTGCAATTCGTGTTCTATCAATAAAAGTCACAAGTTACCTTTCTATGAGTCCACGGTTACTTCTTCAAAACCTCTCGAAATCATATACTCGGATGTTTGGACATCTCCAATTGAATCGATTGATGGTTGCAAATATTATGTTATTTTTGTGGACCATTTCACTCGATACACTTGGTTTTATCCAATGAAACGTAAATCCATGGTCTTTGATATTTTCACTCGTTTCAAACCCATTGTCGAGAATCGCTTCCAAACAAAAATAATTTCTCTTTATTCCGACAATGGAGGTGAGTATCTCGCCCTTAAAAACTTCCTTTCGAGTCATGGTATTTCTCATTTTACCACTCCGCCACATACCCCGGAACACAATGGGATCTCCGAAAGGAAACATCGCCATATAGTGGAAACGGGTCTCTCCTTATTATCTCACTCTTCTATTCCCCGGGAATATTGGACGTATGCTTTTTCCACTGCGGTTTACCTAATAAATCGCTTACCAACCCATGTCCTTAACAATCGATCTCCTTTCGAGTCTCTCTTTGGAACACTTCCAAACTACCATAAGCTTCGTACATTTGGTTGTCTTTGTTATCCTTGGTTACGTCCATATTCCCGACACAAACTTGATCCTCGATCAACTCCGTGTGTCTTCGTCGGTTACTCATTAACCCAAAGTGCCTATTTGTGTCTTCATATTCCCACTAGTCGACTGTATGTTTCTCGACATGTCGACTTCGTAGAAACACATTTTCCATTCGTGTCCCCTCTGTCTTCCTCCTGCCTTGTGTCTACCAATGACCCAGTCACTATGACTGAGTCACGTCCCACCTTAGTCCCATTTCGGCCATCGTGCACGCTGCCTGTCTCGCTAGTGCGGCCTCCCGTGGATTCTTCACCAGCTCAGAATGAGGAATCACATTCGGCAGCGTCATCTCCGCCTTCTTCATCGCCTCCACATCCAACCGACCAACCCGAAAACCCACCTGTACTTATACCATCATCTGAGCCACCCACTGAGCTAACCACCGAGCCTATACCATCCCCTCTCACAGTTCCCGCAAATCACCTACCTCAAAATACACACCCAATGACCACAAGAGCCAAGAACAATATCTCTAAACCATCCAAAAAGCTCACCCTAGCCACCTCTATCCAACCAACTCGTGACATAGAGCCAACATGTGTGACCAAGGCGCTCAAAGATCCAAAGTGGAGGAATGCAATGAATGACGAGTTCAATGCTTTACTTCATAATGGAACTTGGACATTGGTTCCTCCTCATTCCTCCTACAATGTTGTCGGTTGTAAGTGGGTTTTCCGGACTAAACGGCTTTCGGATGGTTCCATTGACAGGTATAAGGCTCGTCTCGTGGCTAAGGGATTTCATCAACGACCCGGTGTCGACTACACCGAAACATTCAGTCCGGTCGTCAAACCATCAACAATTCGGGTGGTATTAAGCATTGCTATATCTCGTGGTTGGATTCTCCGACAACTTGATGTCAACAATGCTTTCTTACAAGGCACTCTACATGAGGACGTTTACATGACTCAACCACACGGTTTTATTGATCGAGACAAGCCATCTTATGTTTGCAAGCTCCACAAAGCTCTCTACGGACTCAAACAAGCCCCACGTGCATGGTACAAGGAACTTTGCCAATTCCTTCTACAATCAGGTTTCGTAAATGCCCTCTCGGACACATCCCTCTTCATTCTTCATCACGGTGACATGTCCATCTACTTGCTTGTGTACGTTGACGATATAATCATCACCGGAAATCAACCAATGATGGTACGGAAGTACATTGACATGTTGGCCTCTCGGTTTGCTTTGAAAGACCTTGGCACTCTATCTTACTTTCTTGGAGTTGAAGTCACCGAAACACCAAAGGGTATGCTTCTCACTCAAGAAAGGTACATTACGGATCTCCTTAATCGTCATATGATGCAGGATGCTAAACCGGTTACAACACCAATGTCATCAACCGAGAAGCTCTCTCTCCACTCGGGAGCGACACTAGATGATCCTACCGAGTACCGTCAAGTTGTGGGCAGCCTACAATATCTCATGTTTACGCGTCCCGACATTGCTTATTCCGTCAACAAGTTGTCTCGCTACATGCATCGCCCAACTACGGAACATTGGCAAGCCGTCAAGCGTATCTTACGATATCTATCCGGGTCTCGATCTCTCGGTGTTGTTTACTCTCGTCACAACCCAGCGACTCTTCATGCTTATTCCGATGCGGACTGGGGCGGTGATCGAGATGATTACACGTCTACGGGAGCATCCATTTTGTACTTGGGCAGCCATCCAATCTCTTGGTCCACAAAGAAACAAAAATTCGCAGCAAAGTCCTCAACGGAAGCCGAGTACAAGTCCGTATCCTCGACAGCATCGGAAGTGGAATGGGTTATGTCCTTGCTCTCGGAACTCCGAGTACCAATTCCATCAACCCCGGTTATATATTGCGACAATGTGGGTGCAACGTATTTAGCGGCTAATCCCGTATTTCACTCACGGATGAAACACGTTGCTATTGACTATCACTACATTCGGGGCCTTGTAGAAGCCAAAAAGCTTCGTGTTGCTCACATTTCAGCCTCGGATCAGCTAGCAGACTTGCTTACGAAGCCACTCTCTCGGATGAAGTTCGACGCTCTCTCACTCAAGATTGGACTCTCAAGACCGTCCATCTTGCGGGGGCATATTACGGAGAATCAGTCATAGAAGGGAAAATCTGTTTTGATTATAATCTTTTCTTAACTGTATCCTAAATTATAGGCAACCCAATGCTGTATATATTCCTCTGTAAAGCTCATATCTATAATGTGAAATTCATTCAAACCTTAAATTATTCTCTCTTTGCCTCACCATTTCTGCTCATCAATCCCTCTCTTTCTCTCTCTCTCTCTCTTTCTCTCTTTGCAGATGCATTGAAGGATCTTAGCCTTTTCTGGAATATTACTTCACCATATTCAAGTAGCAGAACTAGAAGCTAAGTCTCTCTCTTGTCTTTTACTCCCTATTTGATGATGTTTAAAGCATAATTAATCAAGCCAAGATCGAACCAAGTAAGCTATTCATCAAATACCCATCACAGAAAAACTCAAGATCTAGCCCTAATTCACTCGCACAAATAAACAATCCTAAAAAAGAACCCTAATTTCCCAAGACCCATATGAAAGAAAACCCTAGACAGAAGGAGATGCATATGTCCCTCCTCTAAACTAGATAACAGAAAGACCATGGACTTGATCTCTCACCAACAAAACACAAACCCTAGTCCCACTCTCCAAACCCTAAACACCAGTACATTGATCCCCACATCACAATCCCTTTCGCCGTCATCGTCATCCTCCTCGAGCCGCTATGAGAACCAGAAACGCCGCGACTGGAACACCTTCTGCCAGTATCTCCGCAACCACCGTCCTCCCCTCTCTCTCCCTTCCTGCAGCGGCGCGCACGTCCTCGAATTCCTCCGGTACCATCATCACACCCTAACATATATATATATATATATATAAATATATGCATATTTGTGAATATAAGAGGTTTAAATGTTCATACTATATAGGTACTTGGACCAGTTTGGGAAGACCAAAGTGCATCACCAGAACTGCGCCTTCTTCAGCCTGCCGAACCCTCCAGGTCCGTGCCCCTGTCCTCTGAGGCAAGCGTGGGGAAGCCTGGATGCACTCATCGGCCGTCTCCGAGCGGCCTATGAGATGAACGGTGGCCCCCCCGAGACTAACCCTTTTGGAGCACGTGCCGTCAGGATCTATCTACGTGAAGTTAGGGACTTTCAGGCCAAGGCGCGTGGGGTTAGCTACAAGAAGAAGAGGAAGAGGGTCAACAAACGGGATGTGTTGCAGCCGCATGGTCAGTCTACGATCACTAATTACTCCGGTCCGACCATATGATCGGTATATATGTATGTATTATTTATGTGTATATGTATGTATGTGTTCGTATCTTTATAATTTATATGTATGTTGTTTTATGCGTACTTTGTGGACGATGTTACTGCTGCTGCTGCTACATTTGTGGAATAACATGTATGGTTTCATGAATTCCATCTCTCTTTCATGTTTCTTGGAATGTTTTTTCTTCTAACTTTAGGGTTTGTTTCCCGCCCCAAAACATTGGTTATTAATTTGCATCGGTATAATTTGATTGAGATTGACAAACACAACAGGATCACATCCATCGTGTGTGTATGTTTGTGTATTTATGCAAGTATAAACATATATAGACAGACTTGTATTTTGTAGGCATGTACTAGTTTTGCTTCTTTGTATTTAACTCTTGTTTAATGTTGGTCATGAAATTACATATGGATTTCAATTAATGGTAATGCATCCATATACTCGACCGTATCTTCGAATCATTAGCTTTGAGTGACCGTCTTAATATTGAAGATTATATATCTATGGTGTGAATGTCTTCGAACATCGGTTTCAATTTGGAATGTAAGTTTAGGTTATATATATGTTGAATTACGTATGTGGTTACAACGGATTTGGGTGCGTATGTTAAATCTTTTGATTGCTATTTGTAATTTTGATTCGCTAAATTCTATTCCCATTTAGACATATGGAAACTTAGGGATCTTAGGAACTCTCGAGCTTCGAATTCCCATGGAGGCTGACGAGGATCGTCGATCATCATCTTACCTCATTGGTTTACATTCTTCTCCTTTGAGTTTATTGAATTGAACGCGAAAACTCTTAGCTTGGCCACCTTAGAAACTATTGAATGTAATTAGGGTTTATATTATATATATGTATATTTGTTAGGCTTTTTTCAGTTCACCTTAATTGAACAAAACATCTAAAATCCAACCCAATAAATGCGTAGGCATACCACGAAGGATGAAGGATGATCTTAACATGTGTATATCTGTGTACGGATATAATGTTGCATAAATCCAAAACGGATCTATATAACTTTTTTTTTTAAAAAAGACAAAACATAGATCACCTTTTCAATTATTGATGCCAGCTATAACATAGTGACTCAAATTTTTCTTAGAATTAATTAATAAAATGTTGATTAGACCTTTGAATAAATTAATACAAAATTTCCAAAACTTTTCAAGGAAAAGGCAATAAACATAAATTTATATAAATAGGATGATTATATTCTATGAAAACATAGAAAAAACAACACTTACTTCAATTTCGTTAGTTTTTCTCTTACTTCGTATATTCCAAGCTTTTTAATAAACATAAATTTTCAGGGAATGTCTTAGGTCAATATATATGGTGGTTGTATTAAGAAAGTAATTTCAAAGGTGAATTTCTCATAAAATAGATGTCTTTATGCATCGGATACAGACAATAATATAACTAAAAATATCATAAAAATTATTAAAAATATAACAATATGATAAAAATGAATAAGAACCGGAAAAAACCGTTGAAGAATGATAAAGAATTAAATATTTTAAAAAATCGTGAATGTTTAACAAACAAGAAAGGAAACCTCGTCAGGTTTTTTTTATTTGGATGATGCTATCACCGAACAATCCTACGGTGAAGATCTGAAGCTCGATCTTCCGATACGTGTCGCCTTTTACGTGATCCACGCGTACGTGGAACTCTCGCACGTGGAAAATGGACACTTGTGTCGGGCGCCCAATAAAACGGGTCCCGCCTCCTCCACAATCGAATCGAATCTATTTGATTGCGCCACGTAAGCAAATCAAATGTATGTCGTACGAGCTAGGTTTACGTTGCATTATTATTAGATAAAATTCCATCAAATATTCCCAATTTATAAAACGCTTTCATAAAATCCTCAATTTGCAATATTTTAGTAAAAGAATTTACAAATTGTTTTAAATTTAATCCACTAGTTTTATTGACTAAATTCTCTGAGAGTTCACGGTTACATTGTATTACAGGATTGACGATCTTACATCCGATGATTACAAGTTTTATAATGTTTTATGAAAACTGTGTTTTCAAGTTTATAACATTTTCGTACAATGGAGATCCTCGATATTAACACATATGAACGTATAACCATAACATTTGAAGCAACATGTTACATGCATGGCCATGATGAAAAATTCGTAATTTATTTATTTATTTTTATTTTTGCTTCAAGAAACAACAATCTCATGTTCCCTATATATTCTCAGAGGCGAACCGACCAGCGAAGAATCTGAAATACATCAAATTCACGAATTCAATGGCGCCTATGATGAAATAGTAGTACTCAAGCCTGTTCTTGTTCAGATCGCGCCCTCCCAGCCATGGAGATTTCCCGCCTCTGCTCGTCACGTTGTGTATTACATCGACTAGAAGCGTGCTGATGTAACTCGCCATCGATGAGCTCAGGAAAAAGATTGCTCCTGCGACAGTTCTCATGTGTTCCGGCATTCTCATGGTGAGGAACTCCATCAGGGCCACGCACGAGAAAGCTTCCATCAAGCCCGAGAGCGCGAACTGCGGCAGAAGCAGTAGGACAGAGATCGACGAGACGAAAGAGCCGTTTCTTAGGGCGGAAGCACGTCGCTTCTTCTCCAAGAAACCTGCTACTACCATGCATGCTATCCCCATCACGATCCCTATCTCTATCCGCTGTTTGATCGTCAGTCTCCTGTTCCGTCCCGTGATGAATCTCGTGGCCGGAATGCAGATGCATTCGTATGCCAAGATCCAGGCCGAAAGGGCCACCATCGAGACGAGATTCATCCATCCTGGCGGGATTCTGAAATGGGGACCGATTGATTTGTCCATTTGAATCGCTTGAAGGATTCCGAACGTGTTTTGCTGATCCATCAGCATGAAACAGGCGATTCCCGCCACCCAAACTGGTAGAACCCCGAGCACGCACTTCAGGTTCTTCACCTGCTGCAAACTGCATAATCTCCAGTCGTTTCTCGGTCTTCCTTCTTCGTTTATCTCGTTCGGATCCATTACTATCGACGCTTTGTCAAGAAACCCTAACCTGTCTGTGCCCAGAAGCCGAGTGGAGGATCCAGGCTGGTCAAGAGGAGCATCATAGAAGGTTACATCGTCACTGATTTTCACCTTACGCTTCCTTAAAGCTGCGGCTACGACCTTAAACATGTCCGAAAACACACTCCCCTGAGGCTTTGCACAGATGTAAGTGTGCCGGCCGAACAGGAAAATGGTGATCGACAAGAGAAGGCAAGCCGTGGGGATCAAGAAACCGATGAACCAGCTGATATTAGACTGGATATACACGACCCCGGTTAGGGCAATCACGAGGGCAACAGTGAAGGAGAAGTACCACCAGTTGAAGAACGTCTCGAGCTGGGCTTTGCCTTTGGGAGTGTTCGTATCGAACTGATCAGCTCCGAACGCGATATTGCACGGTCTGACCCCACCAGCTCCAAGAGCCAGTAACCCTAGGCCAGTGAAGAGAGCCACGAGCTGCAATGGCTCTGGCTTTGGACATTCTGAACGTTCGTTGCTGCAATTTCGGGGCCTTAACTTCGGGAGAGCCGCAGTCAGAGCCATCATTCCCATCCCCTATTAAGACGTAAATCCACAAAGAACGTTCACAATGTCTGATTTGTTTATATATATGTATAGGAACAGATACTAAGGGAGGGGCCAGGTGAGATTTACGAGAAAGGAGGCGATGGATCCGAGGAGAAGGGTCCAGAACCTTCCAAGATAAGCATCAGAGACAAAAGCTCCGGCCACTGCAGAGATATTGGATAGACCAGACCATATGGTCACGATGTTGACCAAGAAGACACCACCGATGTTGTACTTGTTCTGTAGATACACTGTCAGATTCGCTATCAAGCTCATCGAGGCGAGCTTTTCGAATGACTCGTTCCCTTCACGACCACAAAAAAAAAAACATTTCACAATGACAAAGAAGAAGAAGAAGAAGAAGAAGATGAAGATGAAGACAAGACAGTGAGTTTGAAGGAGAGATCTCAGCTTATGTAATAATATTGCTTGTTTACAACTCTTTTTGGTTATACCCTTTTTCAATTCTGTGTGTTGGTGCAAATACTTGCACGAGTTTTCGAATTCACCAATCTTGCATAAACCTATAATGGCATTTTCATAGAGATATGGAGCTAACGAATTGTTGGAGATGTGCCAAATGGACGAACAAATATATGTACCAAGAATGTATTTGACAGCTCTCCATCCTCCTCTTTTCTTCTTGCGAGAAGACTGATCTTCGGGTTCATGATGCCCATCCCCACGTGAAGGAGAGGAAGACGATGAAGACTCGACTTCCATTTTCTTTTACTTTGTATCAACAATTTTTTTTATCCCAATAAAATTCTTTGGTTATCTTTTTGTGTATATATTTCATGAAACCTGCTGAAGGAAAAAGTCGTGCATTATGGTTCAGGCTGATTACCCGGCACTCGCAACCGGGAATATCCAGAGTTAGTTAACTAAAAAAACAAAATCCGTATGGTGTCATATATAAAATAAAAAAGGGTTTTTGAAAATATATAAAAAAATAATAATGTAAAAGAGAAATACCTAAAAGAACCCTAGCACCGATCGAGAGCCATGGCCCATGCATGCGTTGGAAAGTTCGCAGCGAGGATTTAGGGGAATTGTTAAAGATTTGTTGGACCAAGTGTATGCTTTCTTTCGGTCCTAACTTCTAGGCTTATATCCATGCATATATCCTATATATATATATATATATATATATATATATATATATTCTAATGATATACCTCATTTGTTCCGAAATTATAAATATATACGAAACATGTGAAGATATATATACATAATATATTAATTTTATATATATATATATATTATATAAATAAATGAAATGAGAAAGATCATGTCGGAATTTGGAATCGGTCCGGTCCGACTGGATTTACACTATTGTCAGTCGGCCCATGTATTCTAAAAAAAAGCCCAAAAACGTAAAGAGAACAACATTCTCCGATTTGGACGCTGATTCGGACTCTTGGAGCGAGCGAAATCGGCCGGCCGAAATTTTCTCGGGGAGTTCCGGCGTCGTCTTTGCCTTGATCCCTGATGTCGACTCCGCAGTCTTCATCTTCAGATCCGGCCTCTTCTTCTTCGGAGACGCAGTACACGTACGCCGCAAGCTCATACTTTTCGTCGGCCTATCAGCCGCCGCAGCCCTACGTGGCGCCGGCGGCTGTTTCCGG